TAGTTTATAATGTTCTCATTGCTATTTTGTTCTCCATTTTGAAAATCTTCATAAAGTTCTGGAAAGGAAAAAAAGAGACCAAAAAGACTTGAATCATTTAGAATTACATTTTCTTTTGCAGATGAATCCAGAAAAATTAAAGCAGTTGCAAGAACAAGTTCGTATAGGTGGAAAGGTTGGTATATTTTTATATAGATATTTAGATATTGAGAATAGATGCATTTGAAGTAACCCAGATTTTAAAATGAAAGTGTTCATCTTGATTATTTAGTTCAATTCCTGATGTGAACTTAGTTAGATCTATTGGAAAGGCAATGGGCTGTATTCCATATAAAATATGGAAGTTTGAGTAATTCTTATAAAAAAAAATCATGCCTCCAGTTTAGTTGAGTTTGGCTCTGTCAAAAAGTATGTTTAAAGAGCAAGATATTCAAAATCTAAATTTTGACTTAAGTTAGTTCTCAGTTTATGGTCATGGGACCAGTCTGGCTTTCTGAATTACTTCAGTTCTCAGATTATGTGGACAAATCTGAAACATTGCTGATAATTTATGTTATCTTTTTTTTTCAGTGAAGTTTATACAGTCATAATTGTTCTGATTTCTAACCTAAAGTCAAATTGTAACAAACACATATGTATTTTACACAGGGAACTGCAAGAAGGAAGAAGAAGGTAGTTCACAGAACCGCCACAACAGACGACAAAAAACTACAAAGTTCTCTCAAAAAACTGTCAGTGAACAACATTCCTGGCATTGAGGAGGTAGATTTTTAAACTCTCAGCAAAAAAGAATTCTGATCTTTGAAGCCTAGGAAGCTAGGATCTAATCAGGAGTCATGATCTTGGGTGCTCACTTTACATGTCAAGTTGACTTCATCTTAAAAGATTTTTATATTGTTCATGTTTCTATGATTTCACTTAGTCTCATTTTACAATTTTTTTTTCAATTCTCATATAGGTTAATATGATTAAAGAAGATGGTACTGTGATCCACTTTAACAATCCAAAAGTACAGGCCTCATTGGCAGCAAATACTTTTGCCATTACTGGACAGGCTGAGAACAAACGTAAGTACAGAAATTAAATTCTCACTCCAAAATTATCACAGTTATGTAATTTATATGAATGATGGTACAAAGATGCATGTTGATGTTTATTATTGTTTGCTTCCACAGAAGAGTTTGTTTATTTTGGGTGGGGGATGAGGGGTTAACTAGAAACTATGAATTGGAGGAGATTTGCTAATGCTTAATAACAACTGTAAGAAAATAGATTGAAATCCTTTGAACTTTCGAAAATATTGATTTTTGATTTTGTCTAGTGAGAGATAGTCACAATGAAATGAATGTCACCTTTATTATTTAGAAGAGCATCTTAAACAGAAGGTGTTTTATTAACTTGTTGGTAAGGCTTTAGTTACCTATAAACTCTATTTATTCTTGCTTGTGATACTTGGAGGAGTACAATGTGTAAAATAGATTGAATTTGTAATTAATGAAATAAAAATTAAATAATCTTTAAAATCTTGATGGAAAGCAGTTGGTTTAATTTGAGATCAAAAGTCAAACTACAACAGATGGAACATAAAAAAGAAAAAGAGAGAAAAACTACTAATTTTAGTTAGAACAAGCATTCTGAGAGTATTGCATTAGCTATACTAGTCCCCTACTGGCAAGTGTAAACTGGTTCCTGTTAAGAAAATGCCATAATTCCCTCAAAAATCAATGAAGCGGAATGAAATGCAAACTCGATCTATAACTAATCAAGGTAAAGTCACATACCAAAAATCGCTTAGTATCTGAAAGCGTTTAGAAGAAAATTGCAGAAAACCCTTGAAAATTGAAAAGGCCGTAATTCCGTCAAAAATCAATGAAGTGGAACGAAATGGAAACTTGATCTGTTACTCATCAAGATACACTTACATACAAAAAATCAGCTCAATGTCTGCAAGCGTTTAGGAAAAAAATGCGGAAAACCAAGTGGGACAGACTGACAGACAGACAGAGGGACAGACGGATAGACAGACAGACGGACGGACAGACTCAGAGGAAACCTATACTCCCCTCCGGTTTCACCGGTAGGGGACTAATAAGGAATATTCAGGAGTGAGATTAGAAGCCATGCAGGCTTGAAACTAAAACATATACCAGTAATATTAATAATTACATTAATCAAAAATTAATTGAAAATGACTTCTTTTAAATTAAGAAACAGGACAATAACTCTATATTTAAGATACTTTTCATATATTTTCATACTTCTGATCAAAAGAATTGTGATGATTAGTTATGTCTCCTAAAAAATGAAAAAAGAATTGGGCTTTAACCCAGTTGAGTAATCTGACATGTTTTATGGCATTTTTGCTTCTTAATTCTTGCAGAGATTGCAGAAATGTTACCAGGAATCTTAAACCAGCTAGGTGCCGAGAGTTTCAGCAGCCTAAAGAAATTGGCCTCAACTGTCGCTGGTAAATTTATCTTATTAATTACTCATTCACTGACAGAATAATTGAATTAGAATGGTTTAAAATTAATTATCTCAAGAATTTTTTTATTTAATTCCGAGTTTGATTTTAAGACTACCATTTTCCTGCTTTCAGCATCCGGTGACAACAAACAGTCCACAGACGACATTGATGAAGATGACGATGGAGTCCCAGGTACTCCCCACTTTCTGGTCTAACTCAGGGGTTCTCAAAATCAGCTGGGGTCCACTGTTTTGCCAACTATCAGCCAATTAACTTATACTGCTTTGTTTTCAAGTGTCAAATTCTACGAGTATAGAATGTCTTTTGTACCTTTATGAGAGTTTCTTACAAAAATATCTTTTAACATACCAAAATTTGACCATAATTTTTTTCTCCGAGGATGAAAATGATGATTAAAAAGTGTGTTGCTTTGAACATTGATCATCTTTTGCTTTATTTTTCAGAATTAGTGGAAAACTTTGATGAAACATCAAAAGGAGAGTGAAGAGGATGTGAAAAAAATTCATAAATAGTGCATGTACGTTTGTCGGTTTGTGATATTTACATTACTATCGAGTGTGAAGAGAAGTGTATGTTTCCCAGCCGTTATATTTGAGGAAAAGGCCGTTAATATTCTATATAACTCCATAAACTATTTGAACGAGGACAAAATATCCTTAAAACAAACAACTGCCATTATAAATATTTCATTATATGATCAAGGGTACTTGGACATTAGATGACTTAGATCTGTTGGCCCTTATATGCTATGTATTTATTTCATCTTTTATTCAAGTGCTTAAACCAAATAAACACACAAATTTTCTGTACAATGTTTGGTTTTTTTTTTCTTGTAAAGAAGAATGGTTTAAATGCATATATTTGAATATTTCGAACATGCTAAGTTGCATTTCCATGTGCATTTTGAACAAAGATAAGATATGCTACAGATATGGCCATTTCTTTAACATTGAAGCCCACATGGAGTTATTTGGATAAAAAAAGTGTGGGAAGTATATGTACTTCTTACTCTTTTTTTTTTATTATATCCAAGAAACAGACACTAGACCAGTTTTAATCAAAAATTTCATATAGTATCCATAAGTACTATTAAGGGGGAGTCAATTTTCAAAGGAAGAGGTTACAGCAAAATTTGGCCCCTTATTTGATATAAAAATCAAAACACAGTTAAAATTGTGTTTTTTATTTGAATGATACTTGTTTTAAAACCAGGAGTAATTTTGATTCAAAGCATACACAAAGGCCACAAGAAGATGACGAAGTAGGACATTTTACCGAATTTCTTCAATTCTGATGGCATTTATTTTTTGAGATACTTTTCACTTTGGGAAACTTGGAGCAGAAACTCGCCTATCTGAGATTTTCATACACGGATGCATCTAGATCAAATACTAGTACATGACATATGTAAATTTGTTAGGCAAACTTCTGAAACAAAATGTGGCTAATGTGCTTTAAAATTCAAGAATGAGAAAATTTTGAAAATGACAAATTTTGTGACCTTTCTGTGACAGCTGTATATATTCTATCACTTAGAATCAATACTTATTTTGTAGAAGGGATGACAACTGTTTTTTAACGATGAACTAATGCATTCTTCTTAGAGACACCCCAAAACAGGAGCCAAGAAGGGGTTTTAGCCTAACCTTGTCCTTTGACAAAACAAGAATTATGCTCACTTTAAACATAGTAATGAGTAAAAATAGGCTGGTTCATCTTGTAACACATGTATGAAGATTCACTGGATAAGAAAGGTGTAACTCAGAAAATTTACTGTTGGGGTATTGTAGATTTTTATTTGTTAAACCATGCCTCAGACAGTAAAGGTGATGCCCAAGTAAAGAAACAAAGTTGGCAAAAGAGTGCAAGATCGATGGGTAATTTTCCCACAATGCCAACTATGAGGTTCCAAATTGGACCTATGTCAATGTAGGGAGAGTGCCTTACCATGACGATATTTGGTAATTTCAGTCTCTTCTGCAATGCTTGACTCTTGCTCTCAGGCAAAGTCTTGACCTATTAATATAGTAATATATTACTGGTTTTTGTTCTTAATGTACATTGACATTATATAAATCTTTTGCAGTGTATTGTGAATACGAAGAAAGTATGTCCTTTGTCTTACTCTTTGGCCAGAATGAAGGGTTTCATTTCCTGCATAACTGGCTTGTCAGAAACAGAACGGATAAGCAAGCATTCTGCCTCAAATGCCTATCATTTGTATTCTAAGTACATTGTACCTTCTACATGTTCTCTGTGTGGGTTGTAAGGGAGAGACTGCTGTATGGATAAAATAGGCCCACATTTCGATTTTTTTTCAAACTCCGGAGGAAAAATCTCGGATTCAAAGAACAGCTACAGTTGACCATGTTGCATTCCTTTGAAATGCCACGCGTTTTAACAATATACACTGAATTAAATACGAAACTGTGGTTCCAGTCTCCATTATATGAATATTTCATCCAATCTGTGTTGGAATGAATACAAATGTGACATTCATGCTTACAAAAGGTTAATCATGTATATTTATTTGAAAATAACATTAATATAAACACCATATAAAAATGTAAAGATCAACAAGTTTTGGTATTAAGGACCGCGTCCTCAGATCTGCATTGTCTGTATATCACATACATAAAAAATTATATATGTGCTCTGGAATCTGTCTCTCAGTCAGTATACGGACAGCACCACACGTTACTGATGACAAGGACCATCGTATGTTATAGTCGCCAGGCACGCTTCATCATTGCGCAGAAGTATCCGTCGTCATCAATAGAGGCGCTGACGCCGGCGTAGTAGTTCAGGAATTCGTCCCAGGTCACCTGAAAATGTCAATCTTATTAACAAACATCTAGCAGACACTAGTAAATGTTTTTCTCCATCCACCACCTTCAAAGACAATTTGGGGGGGGGGGGGGGGTCCCTTACCACTCCGTCTGGATTTCCGGGGCTGTCAAAAGAATCCAGAAAATGTCGGAAACATTGATCCTCTGTCCATTCGCCACTTTGGTACTTCGGATGTTGACTGGCATCGTACAACCTTCGAATGTCCTCGATTGTTATCTGACCATCACCGGTAGCATCCATCTACTTGAATGCCTTCTTTACATATTCCTCGCGGGTTTTATTCATTGGTCCCTATAAGTATTGGTATAATCTTAATAATAGAAGATGAATTTCATTTCATGCTTAAATACCGAAAATATGAAACTTTGAGAGAAAAAGTATATCAAAAACTACTATTCCCGTCCCCTAGTATGCATAACCAGCCCTAACACAAAGGAACTATGAATAATCTACGAGAACATATATTTTTTTGCAAACAAATTAAGAAGTGTATTGTCTGATTTACAAATGTCATGATTACTCTTTTATGACACTATATGTTGTTCGCACGTGATGCATACATTACCTAATGAGACTCGAGGTTCAGTAAAATTTGAAAATCTAAAATGAACTAAAGAAAACATGGACCTAACACCATGTGTGAAATTAATACACGAGGGACATTTATACTAGTGTCCTCTACAAAAATTTACAATTTTCCAATTTAAATTTGTATATGACAATTAATTTAGAATTAAAATTCTTTTGTAGAGGACACTAGTACATTGGTCCCTGTTAATTCCGAACAAGATACTGAGGAGTTAAAATTCCTTAAAAGCAAATCATATTTCTAATTCAGTCAGAGATTTTCCGAGAAAAAAAGAGTATGGCATCAGTTAAAAATAAACTTTTTTTCATATATTTACCCTGATAGCAACTAAGAACTCGTCATAACTCAGTTTCCCACTTCCGTCTTTGTCCAGTTCCCTAAAGACGTCTGATATTGTCTGGTCGTCCAGTTCTCGAAGTCCATAATCGTGGAGACCGTCTCGGAATTCACGAAAATCCAACGTCTTGCTTCCGTCGTCATCCATTATTCGGAAACTTCTGTAAACCAAGATCGAGGATGAACATGAAAAGACAAAGAAGAATTAAAAGAGGAGGAACTCGTAAATTATATCTTAGCGAATAGATGTATAGCATCTTGTACTTATAATTAACCAAATCTTATCAAAATCAGCCTTTGATCCGCTAACATTGAACGCTTCTATAGAATTGGGGATCTACGTGAGCGGATCAATGGATATGATTTTAAACAGATTGGTTCTTTACCATTCTTTTCAGAAATGCCCACGCATAAAATTCGCCCTTTCAAATCTTGGTCATTTCTATAACTATATTTCCCTGTGGAATATTGAGGATTACTATGCTTACTGGGCATTTTGATCAATATCAACTTTATACTGAATGCAGTGGTGGATCCAGGATTCTTGAGAAAGGGGGGGGGGGGCAACAGGCCAGGGTGTGAGCGAAGTCTTGATGGGGGTTCCCTTAAAGCTCAAAGGTTTTGTTTAAAATAGTTTTATGAATTATTTTATATATCTTTTATGTACATAAAAGTAATATCTAATAACCAAATTAAAAGGATTTATTTGGGTCTGAAAAGGGGGGCTCCCCCCCCCTCTACATCCGCCAATGGGATAAAAGTATACTTGGTACATTGTCATTGAAATATCGAGGCATACAGGGGCATCTGATATAAAGCTTATAGTCGAGGAGATGTTTTGACTCATGTCTCCGTATTCTCTCTCTCTCTCTCTCTCTCTCTCTCTCTCTCTCTCTCTCTCTCTCTAATCATATATTAATTTTCCAGAATAAGTGTAGCGACTGCATGCTCACAGACGCGTCAAATGTCCTGAGTTTACAATAAGCAAGTTACATTTTAAGTTACCATCATGTTCACTCATGCTCGCAGAAGAAAGAAATAAAAGCATGCGCATACCTGCCCAAACCCTTGATTCCGTTAGCCCCGCGCATCAGGCAGGCATACCGCAGCTTTTGAATTGGGGAAGCAGAACTTCTAAAAGCCTCCTCCGCCTTCTGTTTAAGATGTGCCTCCTCATCTGCTGTGCACGCCATTTTTGTTTTCTACCGCGAAATCTAGAAAAATCGATTGGCAAACATAATTTACCTGTAACACAGGTAAACAAATAAGGGGGTAATTTCGCAATGGGTGAAATGTTAATGTTTGTTATTATGAAGTATTAGTACTTTGATCGACGAACAACCGAATAAATTTAAATAGTTATCTATGAATCATATTTATTAAAAAAGCGTTGAATTATTTTATTTTATTAAATTATTTTTGAGACTTTTTATTTCACTAAAGCCCCCCCCCCCATTTTTTCCTCTCACATACAATAATTAGAGTTATCTTTCTTTGCTCATGGATTCCATCAGCTCATTTTTTTCTTAGAGTTATCCCGCTTTCCTTTTTGGTATGCTCTCTCTCTCTCTCTCTCTCTCTCTCTTGTTTTTTTTCTCTTTAATAGTGCCCTATATCAAATTTAGAATTTGTTCAATTTAAAATTTGTATATGACAAAATCTTTATATACAAATTTAATTTGAACAAATTCTAAAAATGGTAGAGGACAATTAGAAAAGGGTAAAAATATAGATCCATTATTTGGAGTTAATAAGTGCCCCCCCCCCCTCACCACCACCACCACCACCACCACCACACCAATGGATTGCTGTAAAGGGCGAGGCATCGTAAGATAAATAACATGAGTACATATCATATAATTCTTATATCAAAACATTTTACCTATTTAAGCATTAAGGAAAACATATTCGCTCTTCAAATACATAAGTGTCCAGATTTAAAAGTTATGATTAAACATAAGTAGGGATATTCGTCAGTTTTTTAAACATTAACCGGCTAATCGAGCTTTACGTATTGCTGGCCACTAGGTGTACCTTTGAATCCCCTAAACGCAGGTGTCTCCACACAATCGCTTTATCTATTGTTCGTATTAATGCTTCTCGTGCGTTTCTCACCTGAAGGTAAGAATCTTGTCGCTAGAGCCGACAGCCTGGCGCCGGGATCGTACTTAAGTCAGCCAAAACACTCCAAAGTGTCCTATACACATGTCCTGGCTTTTTCTCTTGTAAATGAATATTTTCATTTCCTTTTTCTCTAATCCAACACTCATTGCTGTGGCATTTGCAATTTAAAGAAAAAATATCAAAATAGCATGCCAAGTACTTCGGAGATTTTTTCCCTCTTTTCTTCAACAGATGTGTATTTCATTATGAAAAGAATGGTTGTTCTTAATTTAAGATTTGAGCATTTAAAATGAATTGTGCTGTTTTGCATTTGCAAACATTCATTATCTCGATAATGCAAATGTATTAGAAATATGTTGTCAAACCTAAATACACATTTGAAACTATTTTCTCAAGCCCTTGGCATCTGTTTGAGGTAGAAAATTACATTTTCTAGTGATTGATTTGTTAATTTTCATGTAAAAGAAAATGTGTTTTTTAAATATAATATACATTCTTTTCTATGACTTTAAAATATGTCTCATGTCATTTTCAACATTTAATAAAAATATATACTTTTCAACGCGACATTGATTATGTTTATATCAGAAAAGGATACGTTAGTTTAATTTCACTCGAAATGAAATGAAGTGGTATAAAGTATAATGCCAGCGACGAACAGTCTTCCCTTTGAAAAGTTGACTCACCCTTAATGCTAATTTACTCGATATTTTAGATATAAATGCGAAACATACATATCAAACAATCATTTTTCCATAAATATTTTGATTGGGATGCAGTTTTGATTATGCAACTGTTAGATCTGTAGTTAATGCTTTTTCCCTTAAATTTTATGAGGTTAAGAAAAAAAGTTTAATTGAAAAAAAAGAATCCTTAATTTTTTCCACCTGTAATATTGACTCTATTCGAGTGTATAATATGTACAAATGAATTATATTCTCTACTTCAATCACACGCATTCTCTTGCTTATTTTGATCCAAAATTGAGAATAACTAATTGATAATTTAGTTTCTATCTTTTCCTCAAGGCATTAACCCCCCTTTTTGTAAAAAAAAAAAAAAAAAAAAAATGGTCAAGGATAATAAAATAATGTATCGGGTTTTATTCCAGTTATAATTACATGTAAAATAAATATTTTATTAGCATGATAATTCAAAATTCAAGATATAAACAAAAAAAGAAAAATAATAAATAAACAAAGAAAGAATAGAGAGAGGGGAAAAAGATCATGTTTTAATGGCATCCCCCGAGAGAGAGAGAGAGAGAGAGAGAGAGGGCATTCTATTTACTTGCTAATTACTTTCCTCATTATAAAATTAATTGGACTAAGGAGTGTAAATCATTAATTTTCTTTTTTTAACTGATGGAATAAAGAATGATCTATTCATTTACTTACACAATTATATATCTATATTTTATCTACTTAATAATTTATGATTATTGTTTCATAATATATTTATCATGGATTAGTGGATATTGATAATAAAAATGATATTAAGTTAACAATTTGCTATCTCCATGAAGATTTTTGTCTACTTCGATATTTTGATTACCCTATTGACAACTATGCGTTTTTTTTTGTTTTTTTTTTGTTTTTTTGTTTTTTTTTTGTTTTTTGTTTTGTTTTGTTTTTTGTTTTTTGGACAAGGGAAAGTGCGTAACACTTTAAGAATTTTTTAAAAATATTATTAAAAGATGTAATTATCCATAAATGATTAAAATAAATAAAGTTTTAGTCTCAAGACATGGTATTACACTTGGGGTTATATATACGATCCATACGATAGATGATCTAGGCCTTGAAGCGTCTAGAGAGCTTAGGAATTTCTGTCTGTCATAGCACGTGGTTATATACATTGCTTTACACACAGGTGCCCGCTAGACAGACTGGCGTCGTGCTTTTACATAGAGAAATATGTGTAAACACCAGGTTATCGCTTGAATGTATACTATACACACAAAGATTCAAATGAACAACATTTAAATAACTGATTAATAAGCGTAATGTTTTTTATCACCTGCTAGATTTTTTTGTAATTTTTTACCGTCTCTCTCTCTTTCCTTTTAAATGCAATTTTTACGCATACATCTGGTTTTGTTATTAAGAATAATTTTTGATAATTATTCGTTTTTTTTTTTTTTGAATGACGAATGAATGTTTAACAGAAAACATGTTTGTTTTACTGCACATAAACTAAAATAAATGAATTTTCATGAGGAAGAGAGACGCCGTTTTTAATTACCGTTTTCTTTAATGATGTAAATAAACAATACTGTATTCTCTTAAAATAAAACAATTATCATTCACACAGCGCAATTAAAATACTACGTTTGAATACATAACGGAAATTTATGATAAAAATCAAATTTTTACTTCTTCTTTTTTTTTTTTTTTTATTAATTACAAGTTTATTTCTTTGTCATAAACTTCCTTTGAGAGGACAATGATTTGTTGGTAACAATTAACTTCTTTAAAAAAAATATATATCTCCCTATAACTTTGTAATTTTTTAAAGTGAAATAAAGTTATAGTAATGTTGAAAAGAGCTCGATATTTGGATATTTAAACGTTTATTTTATGATGGATTTTTTTCACGTTAAGGAAATATTTATTTATTCATTTATTCATTCTCTCTCTCTCTCTCTCTCTCTCTCTCTCTCTCTCTCTCTCTCTCTGTATATATATTCGAATATTACAAATTTGAAATTTTGAATAAAAAAAGGCTATTTCATCTTCTTTTTAAAAAATTAGTGGAGAAAAAAATGTTTTAGCAAAATTTTCTCAAATACCAGTTATATCAGGATTTTTTTCTCCTTCATTCAATCGGTACAGACATGTCTTATTTTGGTTTCGACTTTAAACTATTTATAACTGGTGTGAATGTTTGGCTGTATAATTCGCCTGTCGCCAGCTTGGCTGGAGCGCACCTGAGGCCGTCTAGCGCAGCGCCAGTACATCTGCAAACGAACTACGCTATCTATACTGACTGGGGGAGTTCAAATCACACCTGTGCGAAAAGATTTTATATGTATACACTTAGTGAGAGAACGGTTGGGATAGAATTATATCAAGCCGACGGTAATCGATGAAACATGATTAATATTTGTTTAAAAAATCCCACTTTGAGGTTTGCATTATTGAAATCGGTGAATTAATTAAAATGTGTAGGTACTACCGCGTTTTAATAAAGTGTTGTGTAATTTTTATTTTTTAGTCATTTTTGAACTTTTATTTTTTGAAAGTGCGTTGTTGTTTTAATAATGTTTTAATATAAATCAGAGTGGGGAAATTTCACCATAACTATGTTGCAAAAGCTTTGTTTGAAATTAACAACAAATGTGAATACACAACTGTTCTCTTCCATGCACTTGAAAGAGGAAAAAAACTTTCGAACTATGATCAAGCAAAATTTTTAAAAGCTTAAATTATGAGCTTGTAATATTTAATTTCTGTAATGTAAAGTCGTCAAAACGAAAAAAAACATCCGTGTCACCGACTCGAGAAAATGAAGAAACACCTGGATATCAGCTGTTATCTGTTAAATTAAATTTGTGACGGGAAACATCTTTTTTTCGTTTTATGACATTTACTTTTAAATCCATAATTGCTATTTTCACGACTGGTAAAGAATAATATTCTTCCAAAGAATGACATTTGAGAAGTCGTCCAAACATTACCATTCAAAAGTTTCAAAAAGAATGCCAGACTTGTAGATACCTGAAAGCTGACGATAAATTGGATACACTCATCACTGAGGTGAAATTGTCTTTGGTTAAAGATTTTGTAAATTAGAAGGCATTAGTCCGAATATATTGTCATATATCATGCATATATCATGTTGTAAATTTTGAATTTACTGGTTGGAGGTTAATTTATGCAAAATTTTTTTAAAATGATACTAGTAACTAGTTATCTTGTGGAAAATTCTGTATTTACCTCAACCTACAGTAAATTCAAAATCTGCAGCATGATGCATATATTTATTTGCCAATTTTACAGTTCACCTATAAACTATTCTTTTTCATGCTGAATCGTTTTGGAGAATATACATGTGATAAAACAGCGATAATTTTTAAAATTAATTATTGAAATGACAAATTTTGGTGGACAAAAATATCTCTCTTTTGTCTGAAACTATTTTTCTCGTAGAGAGACATGAAAATTCCTACATGTTCACTTTGTACAAGTGTTTAAAATTGTATGAAAATATTTTCTTGTTAGGGATAATTGTTACCTAATTTGAGAGAGAGAAAAGAGTGACCGCATTAAAAAAAAATCGAAAACAAAATTGAAAAAGGAGGGTGGGAAAACAAAGAATGCAGTATATATATATATATATATATATATATATATATATATATTAGATTGTGATATTAAGAAATATTTTAGGAATCAAAACATTAATAAAAAAATATTTTTTATAATTAGATTTAAAACTTTTACTTTACAAGGAAATAAAAAAGTATTTTAGATGATCGAATTTTAAGACATAATTTCTTGAAAGGTTATTCATGAGAGATTACTCACATTTTGGGGTTAAATGCTTGTTTTTATACAAAAACTGTTTCATGACCTATGGGATTTCAAAATAAAAGGAGGGGGTGGACAAATTTGAAACTGAGTTATAATCAGTTTAACATATCTTTAAAAGTACATACACTCAATCCCTGTTGAATGCCAGTGGTTGGGTAATAATTAATTAGATTGTAGAAGGTAAAGACACAATCTATATACATGTGTGTTCCAATCGAAAAAGTGATTTATACAAAAAAAAATATAATTATTTATGACCTCTACTATATGTAAGTTCATATACATGTACTTCCGCATTAATAGATAATGAGGGGGGGGGGGGTAACATACGAGGTCTTTGAGTGGTTGTGCCAATAAATTTAAAATTAATAGTGAAAATGGTAAACACGAAACATTTTGATTCAGGGAAACAAAGCTTATTCCATGAAAATCATATTTAGATTTGTACTCAATTTCAAGCAAGAAAAATTTAGGCCAACATTCAAAAACAGCAACAAAGAATGAACTCATCTCTATAGCAAGAGGGGAACTGGGTGCGATAGGTCCGCGTATACCAGGTGTGCATGGCTATAATTAACATGACAGGCCGTCGTTGTCGTTTAGAAACTATAGATAGACAGTGATTGTTTGTAAATATTGTCCATCCTATGGTCATTTTATTACGAGAGTTAATTGATGCTGCTAATAAATCTCATCTTGATTATAGTCACTTTGACACGTAATGGGTAATAAAGTTACATAAGTAAGTACCCCCTCCCCCTTAAATATCAGTGGGTGAATGTTTATAAGGGTTATAACTTTGATTTGGCAAGTAAGCATTCAGGCAGTTTAAAGTAATAAATAAAAATGCATGTACATGTATATTTTTTCCATTTCAGATTTCACAAGGCTATTGGTATACTAATTCACCATGTGGGGCAAAAAGATTGGTCTTTTGAAACTGAAATCTTCAGAATATCTTGATAAAGTAGAATATTTTATATAAATAAATAAGTCGTACACAAACTAAAGATACAATTTTTCATTATATTTATAGATTTCAGAGAATTTAGCAGCGTTTATAAAAATGTAAAATTTTCGTCAAGAAGAGGTTTGCAAGTTCTTTGTGCCAACCAATGAATTCTGCTTTCTTTGGTTTTTATTTAACAGATCTCCAGAAATGATTTTTTTTAAATAAAAATCCTGAGGTCTTTGAATAATTAATGAAGTTTTTCTTTGATAAAAATATACATATATATTCAATCATTTAGAGTATTTTTTTCCTAAATTTTATAGAATCGAAACAACAAATGATTCATAGTAAATGGAGCAGAAAAAAAAAAAAAAAATTGTTTACAACAGTCTCTTTGCTTTCATTTGGACATAAGGAATACTTTCAATGAATCATATTTTTTTTTTTAATTTTGAACTTTAAAGGACGTTTCAAGTGTAAGAAAAACACTTTAGTTGCAATATATGTCATATTGTACAAACTCTTTATAGCGACGTTACATGATACACGTATGACATATAGTATTTGTTTTAAATTCCTCGAGGGAAATATTCAGACTGTCTGGCGCATCCCCCCGACCTGACGGGGCAAAAATTACTGGACCTTACCTATCTCACACATATCATCAAATCTTCCAAATACCCCAAGAATTTTTTAAAGTATATTAAAAATTTTTATGAAGAAAAAAAAAGGTCAAAATTATTCCTTCAAAGATATTGTTGCAAATCTTTTATGTTACAAATATTCCTTCCTGAATATATGTTACATGTAAAATTGATGAAACAGTTGAATAAGTTGAAGTCATATGACATTCATTGTTCTCTATGATAATTTACTTAATTGAAGCACTGACTTTTCACTACGAATGAAATCCACAATTAGCGTCACTTTTTCGAAGGGGTGGTGACACGGAATCCTCAATGGCATGTCAATTGCATAATTATTATGCAAATACTTCGCTAATTACTATCTGGCAGTCGGACATAATGAGTCAATTAGGTAATCAAATCATATTCGGCGCAGGTGAAAATATGCCATGCCAAAATTTTGCCCAGACTTAATGAGCATTTCTTACTGAGAATCGATTAACATGGCTAACGATATCTCTGTTTTTTCAATAATGCATGATTTTAATATACTGTCTCAATTATTTCCTTCATAAAACCTTCAAACAAATTCGCCTTACTACTTATGCTTGTCCCAGATTTTCAAAGAATGCTGATGAAGTAACGTTTATGAGGGAATTATCGGTCTATTGTCCCCCTTCCAGGGCACCTGTGCAGAATAGCAGTGACATAATCGTATTGGACCCTTAACATAAAGGGCTTAAAGAACGGTCAAGTGCTTGAGGTACCCAGGTGCGACCACAATGGCTAAGTGTCAATACCTACTGGCCAACGAATCACCGTGAGAATCCACCTGGAGCGGCTACAACAAGATGATGTCAAAACAAATAACTCTTATTGTAAGATGGCGCTAAAAGCTTCGGACTAAATAGTGGACCCGGCTTATCCAAGACGGGAAATAGATTGAATTCGAAGATTATGTCGGTGCCGTCTAGTTCTGAGATTTCCTTCTAGTTGTGAAGATTAACTTAGTTTTTGTTTTGTTTGTTCTCTTTGTTGTTGATTTTTATTTGTTTTGTTTTGTGTCTGCGTGTTTTTGTGTATATGTGTGCATGTGCGTTTAAGTCTTAAGATAACTGAAACGATTGTTTTATTGTTTGTTTCTTCTTCTTGTTAATTTTTTGTTTTGTTTGTTTGTTTTTTGTCTAAATCGGTTTTTTGGTTTTACGGTCCGAATCTTAAAAATTTTGTGGAAAAAAAAATTCAAAATTCCGGTCAAAAATTTTATTTCTTGCATTCCAGGAACACTGAAAGCTGTTTTTTTAACCATGAGAAGTAGTATATTATCAGAATGAAACCAAGATAAGATTTTTAATTAAAAAGAGATCAAATAGAATTTTGTGTAAATAGACAAAAGAATATGTTCGCTCTAGAAGGATCCATTGAGATAAATATTTGTTGAAAATAAGAAATGGAAAATTGCGTGAAAGCAATTTCAGTAGCTGATTTCTACAGAAATTGCAAAGTTTACAACTTTACTACGATGAACTCGTTGGCCCCCTCGATAGCAAGTCACATGATAGAATTCACAACCCTGATTGGCTGTTTACCTTTCTTACACGAGACCGGAACACATTCCTGTTCATTGAAATGTCGTCAGATCTCCTTTTGATAATGCCTTATTGTACCTAAGCCCCACCCCCTGTTGAAATTTTATACAAATGGCACGCGTCGATTTCGAACGGCACACTCCTGGCACGCGACTCATATGGAGTTATTACCAAAAAATGTATTTACCTGGTTGAAACAAAAACAGCATCGCTTCAGTGGATTCTACCGATTTTATTTCTTTTTTCCATCAATGTCCGAAACGTGTGACTTTTCTTGTCCCGACAATGGAGTGCATTTTAATTTTAGTATGTTTCGCTGAAATATGATCATGGATGTTTAAACTTTCATTTCATTGAAAAATGTTCCCAGGTGAATTAAGGAAAGTTATTATCTAAAATTCAGGATGGACCGGCTCTGTGGTATTTTAGAAATTGGATATACAGGATTCTCATTTAACACAAATTAACAATTTTGAAATAAAGTACCTTTTTCATACAAAACAAAAAATGTGTTTCATCTCAATTTCTTCCGCTCTTTTTACAGAGAACATATTGAATCAAGACCGGTTAACTCATCAGGCAAAAAGTCTTCTCTTTGTCTAGATAATGGACGAGCACACCTGTTCGGCTGAATCTCTTGTTGTCATGATCTGTGGGAAGAAACTTTCCTTGTATTAAAGTATACCTGTTTTTACAAGTAATTTACGATAAACTTAAATACCCCTCCTAGACGCTGTATTTATTTTTGTTAATCTTTTTCAGAGCTCTGGCGCCAGCTATATCGTATCTAAATACTCTGTAGTACATGATTATATGCAAATACGCAGGTGTGCGAGTGTGAAGTATCATGGGGCCGAAGGTGACGAATTTTAATGCAATTTATCAGTTACTTCAGGGCGGCAGCTTTGAAGTTGTGTGTGATTGGCACGTCAAAAACGTTAGCGACCGCCTGGATGGCGCCTAAACCATAGCACAGAGTATGAAAGAAGAATGAGTGACGTCACACTGTCGGCGCCTTGATGGCGAAAATATTTATATTGAAAACTGGCTTGATTTTTACCTGTTCAAACTAGTATCATTGAAGTAAAAATGGCATATAAACTGTCTGATTTTATATTTTATAAGTAATACCGATAATTATCGGGAAAAATTCAGAAATAACAATAAATCGATGAAAATAATCTAATATTTTACGCTACACAGATTCCAGTAGGCGTGGCCTAGCTGTTGAATGATTGGCTGATAACGGTACAATGACCCCTTTGAGAATAGTTCAGCCTATGGCAAATTGGAGTAGGAGGAGCTAATATCTACTCACGGTTATTACAAGTGAATATTTATACACGAAGTATTCCTCGTTGTAACATTTGCAAGCTAAGCAAGGAAAGAGCTAGTACACAGAACAAGTCGATCGATATTACCAATTCGCAGAGAAAACATGAAAGCCATTACTCAACCTTGTGTAAGACCAGTGGAACTTGGCATGAAAAAGGATTCTATGAAAGTGATGAAGAAAGTAGATGATTGTGCCGCAGAAATGCAGGCTTGCTTCTCTAAACTGAAGGAATTAGTGCCGTCTGTGCCACAAGACAAGAGGTTATCCAAGACCCAGTTGTTGCAACATGTGATTGATTATATTTTGGACTTGGAGACAGCCCTTGACTTCAACCCTGCCGTGCTGGCTGAACCTCTCCCCAGTGTTAACAGGGCTCCACTCTCGGAAAAACCTGAACCAAACACTATTCAGGCCTTCACCCAGGTAAGAACGAGTCTCGGTATATAATGATGTTAATGATATCGATTTGACATCTATTTTCTAATGTTTAACATAATTGATGGTAATTCTGACTTCCATTTCTTATGTAAATAAATAAAATTATTTTTTTGTCGTTAATTAGATGGCAGTCTCAATGGATCAGGACGAATCCTGCGATTCGAAGTAGTGAGAAACCCTGTCTCCTTTTGCGGATGTGAACTAACAATCGGTGAGTTTTTTTTTCTCCTGTCTAATAATAATATGTTTAAATATGAATTAAAACCTGATCATATTCAATGAGGTTGAATGAGAAATTTGTGGGAAGATAAGTTAAAATTCTCGCCCAGTTGCGTCTCAGACATACTGGCGCCACCTGAAGTAAAAGCTCTCGAGTGTCGAGTCTACTGTATCAACAGGTGCAGTCGAGAAATGTTCAAGTTAAAGATTCCTTAATATATCGGATAGACCCCACCTGTTCCTATGAAAGAGAGAGATAATTACTGACGTCACTTCGAATTCATTATGAAATTTTATGAAGTATTTTCTGTTTAATTTAATTACAGCATTGGAACCCAAATTTTCCTTGCGAGTTGCCACATTTGATCGGAGCTTATGAACAAATAAAGCATGAGAACTCCAAGGATGAAACCGAGTTGGTCAACATCAAGCACGACGAAAATGCTGGTCACCTGAGGGGAAAAAGTCGGAAAAATTCTAAAAAGCGGACACAACCTTGGTGAAAATTCAGTATACAGTAGTGACGTAATAGTACCACCCCTGCCACTGGACTTCAGTGTATATACGTTATGTTTTATTTTGTCACTACGCTTACGATTCGTGCCGAGTGGACAATAAGTGACCAATCCTCGGACAGAAATCTGTACATAGTGGACAGAAAATCATGAACTTGGCGACGCCGAACAAGAATTTTTTCTCTTGTTTTAAAACTTTTTGTTATAATCCTGTATATGGACGAACAAAATATTGCCACCGATTCTGTATTATTTTGATTTTTTTCCTTTTTTTTTTTTTTTTTTACAAATGTATATTTTTTTCTTGTTGTATTTTTATAAAAATTTTATTACAATTCATATTAAAACTTTTTTCCCAAAAAACTATGAACGAGTTTGTCACTTTATTACACCACAATATGCTATATATCAGGACATGCCTCATTAGCAAATTATAATAACAGTTGTTAATTGTTTAAGTGGAAAAGTCCCGATTTCCTTAAGCAAGGGGCATTAGTAATAAGCCCAGCGGGGTTGACATGTCTTGAACATGTGTATATGTTATAAGGGAATATAACCCAGGGCCCCACAGAGCATTTCTTTGACAGACTGACGTATTTTGTACCTGAGGCTTTCGTGTCTTTAGTACCATCGACACCTGGCGAAGAGATGGGAAAAAGATAAAAGTAATTTGTATTTATATGTGGTAAAAAAAGGAAAACATTGAGACAAATCTGATCAGCTAGTCAATTTATGTTTCTTTCATTACATTGAAATATTAAATATGAAATATATATCTGATGTTGAATAAAACTTTGGGGTATCAGTTGGAGTAATCTTGCGTATATGGGTATAGCCTAGCACTCTGCCAGATTTCTTAGGAAGATATGAAGTATTAGCTTATCTGTATGATTTCATAAAAGAGATACGGAGTAGTCAGTTATCATACATCTAAGTAAACGCCACTAAATGGACTCCGAGTCCAAAAATCCATATCAAATGGGCAGTTTGGAGCCACGAGAGAAAGCACGTGAACAATAATAGTTTTTGTATGTTTATATCAATTTAGATACAATAAGCATGTGTTTGTTTATTTACTTGGTTATGCTTCTGTTCCCCAGGTGGCTAGCTGTGTGTTATCCTTCAAAAAGGGGTCTTCAAGCACTGTTGTTGGCCCCCACCTGAGAAAACATCCAATATGTGTACAGTGATCAAGGAAAAATAAACATACCCTAATGAAATGTACATTTCACACATAAACAAACAACGGTCACGATTAAAGGCAAATGAAATGTCTTAGGCGTATTGTTTTCTTTTCACATGGGCTTTGTTTTGTATCAATTCGGGTAAGAAAATCAAAGGAAAGTTCGCCGACCCAGGGGAATTATATTAGACGTGAGTTTTATTGATTGCATGCAGTGAAAGATGGCGTGGTCAGAATCCCACAAAAATGCACGTGTCCAGTGCCAAAATGATGCCATCTTATCGCAAAAACCTCAGCCCGTCACAGCTGCAGGAGAAATTAACGCGCCCCTGACCATCTGCGTGCGGGAGAAATCATTTTTACGACAACATCGCGCTCCATGAGAAAAACTTACAACTGACATCTAATTAGCAGCCATGCCCTGCGATTTCAAACAGCCGCCCTTTTCTACAGGTGAGGCTGACCAATCCAGAAGGGCACCTTGACGCACATGTCGCGCAGGTGAAATCGGGTATTGATACAGTGGGAGGCACATTGCGTGTCGACAAGGAACACAGCAGATGACCACTTGTGCGCTAGTTTTCCCATGCATACCAGCCCCAAGTAGACCATGTGTCATCCATATTTTGCCACCATTTTCTAATCTCTTTTGGCACTTGGTATTCGGGCATTTGACATATTGATCACATCTGCTTCGCCATATGGATATCAGATCGGTTCCATGAAAATGTTTTTATGCTTGAAATTGTGTCTTTTATGATATAATTCTTCTGCAATACCTATAGCAGATTAAAAGTAAAGGCCTTTGAAGTAAAGAACAGACGTTTTGCTATTTTTATCGACTTCTGCTTGATGTAAGATTCCCATTTCCTCCAGACAAACAAATGCATATTTCGGAGTTGGTGTATCTCCTTTGCGGCATAAATCAATCATGTTGGACATGGCCAGTCAAGAGGGCATCAGTTGTGCTAACTTTCAATCAGGCCGGATTCATGTTCTTGTATTTCTTCTTATTGATTTTTATTATGCCCTGTCTTGTTCCGTGTTGCCATAAACATCGTTTTTCTCTACTATGAAGTCAATATTTTTTTTTTAATTTTGATTCATTTATGGTATATTCGTTAAAAATATGAAAGATGTAAACTTAATGGTGTCCATTTCACAACCATGAAAAAAAGGGGAAAGAGATACGCGCACACCTTATGTTATTTTTGATAAATAATATATGTCTTGAGAGTGCACTTGATACTCATTACGACGAAACGCGACTTGATTGCAACTTATTTGACACAAACAATCTGGCGCGAGTTTCGGCCCGTTTAGATCAATCAATATACATGCTAATGTGCTAGGCCTTATTACACACCTGCACAACTGATGCGGCCCGGTACTTTCCAGTACCTTTTGTTCTTAATCAATTTTCTATCAACCCCCGGGTTCATTAGTGGGTTTTAGACTTGTTTGGACAGAATATGAAAGTGGAACACCTGCAAGACTTTCATCAGATGATATCGGCTATATGATTATGATTTCGTTTTACTTGATAATAAAAGATTACCGACATTTGTGAACATGACGGGGATAAAATCATAGTATAGTGTTTGCACATAGCTATTTGATTATTGTATGGCTTTGAAAACGAACTAAATAAACAGAAAAAATAATCAAGGAAAAAGGAAAAAAAAACCGCTTTTACATGCAGACGAAGAACTACTAAATTAAGACTGAGCTTTCCTAAATGAGCCGACATCGTGTGAAATCATTATGGACACTTATGAAAAAATTACACATTCCAGTTTAGAAATGTTGTTGTTGGGTATTTGAACAGGTTGATTCCTTTTTTATACGTTTTTACGATAAGACACTTTTGAGATGTTAGCCGGAGGTTCTCCCTGGGCGTGATGCAACTTTCTGCAGGTGGACCGGAAACGCCAAGGGTCTCAATGGAAAGGAAACATGCCTTTTTCTAACCATGAAAATAAATGACATGCATTGAAGTATTAACGTTCTGTAGTCAAACCATCTTGTAATCGCTTTGCTATCTTAATTTAAACTGTCATCAATTAATATATAAACTTTTTTCATAATAGTATAAGTTGAATGGAAATTAAGGAATACATGTACTTATAAATGATCGATTATGGTATGTATTCAAAGTCAAAAAATCTTCATGAATTTATAGTTGATAATTGGCGATTTATATGCTTAAATATGCTTCAATGCTTATCAGTTTTTTATATGATTAATACTTAATTTATTGCACATTATGTAATTTATACATCAAATTAAGAGAGGCGATAAGTTAGCATATACATTAAGAAAACCGGTCAGGGGCGGATTCAGGATTTTTTCGGGGGAGGGGGTGTCCATATGAACTGTAACAAATGTAGTCTCGGAAATTTTTTGACACGCAAAACAGCCCCCCTCCCCCCCAAAAAAAACACACACATACAAACAAACAACTTGCCCAAATCTGAAAATACTTTTTCGTATGTGTGGGGTGGGGTTGGGGGTTGGAGTAGGAGAAGACAATTTCTTAAGTCAATTTTCTTCAGAAAAGTCACTCTCCTTACCGTTTTAAGAGGGCTTCGTGTTTCCTAGGGAGGTCCAAGGTCAGTATTCGTTACTTTCACATAGCAATTTAATAGATGAAAATTCCAGAAGGGGGTCCGGACTCCCCCCCCCCCCCCCGACTTCCCTTTATATCTTTATTACCGACATATCGCTTTCAAAGTTATTCCAGCCACGAAATATCTTAATCTACATAAATGAAACATTTTCCCCCCAATATTAAAATTGACATGAATTTTCAGTTAAAAGATAAATGTAAACTTGGAGAAATTACAGAAATTAAACAATATAACAGCATAAAGAGAGAGAGAGAGAGAGAGAGAGAGAGAGAGAGAATAAGGACACAATTGATACTAAAAGGGGTTTTAATTTCTGGTTGGAGAGATGGGGCTAAATTGGTTTCACTGCATGGATTTCAACAGTTTCTCAGAAATTATCTTTACATTAATTCCTGCTGATGAAGCATCCGATCATAAGCAATTTACCTGATTTTTTTCGTGGAAATTCACGAGATATTTCCTTTTTTCTACTTTCTTCCTCAAGCAAATGGTGTTTCTCAGAAATATAGTAATATTATTTTTAAAAGACTCACAAGAAAATGAAAAAAGTGGCCTATATTATTTGTATATATTCATTAGAATTAGGATAATTATCATTTTAAAAAATGTACTAGTATTTTATTCGGTTTTTATAAAGAATTATCTTTTTTATTACATGAAACAATCATCACAATATATTCACTTTATATATTAGAAATATAACCGACATCGCTTTAGCATTTATTTTTAAGATGTGCTTTAGAAATCAAACACAGAGATTTCAATTTGCTGGGGCTTGTTAAAAATAATGGGCATATAACTCTGGTGAGCAAAAAGGATTGAGAGCAACAAAGGAAGGCTTCTCAGATGAATCTCATAATATGGTATGAAAATTAATGTTTATTGACACCCCCCCCCCCCACCTTTCCACCACTTTTTATTGCAGTATGGTCAGATTCCCCCATGTCGAAGTATCCTAGATTTTTCATGTCGAAAAAATGACATTGTAGTTTTTTTCTTTTCTTTTTTCTCCTAATTTCTTAGATGAAGTCAATTATCCACCCTTTCAAAAACGATGCTACGTGCGTGCAAGGAGACGGAATGGCTGGGTTGTGTGAATATCGTTTTAATGTGTTTGGTGTCTTTTTGGTAAATTCGATTCCATATGTTTGGTTGCATTTGGTTTCCAATTAGTTTGTTTTCATTTCATTTCGTACCTGGCGAAAGCATGATTTCTCTTTCCTGCTATCCTCTAACGGACAAGCGGGATTGTAAATATTTTCACCTAAAGGAAGTCATAATAAATAATACTTCAAGAGTGACAAAATCCAATATTTTTTTTCCCTTAAAAGTAATTTTAAATATCCTCGCCATTTGAATATTTGAGATATCAGTGTTTTATAATAAATGATTATTAAGCCTGATGTTTGGCTTGCTGTTGGCTTTCTTTGAGCCACCATTAACGCGTTGTAGGAGTTCGTCCTTGCGAATTCATGTTGAGTTCAGATGAGATTTCATTACTGCCGGACATGTATATATCGTTCTGCCACAGTCTGAAAACGAGAGATCATACGATCGATTTCGTATAAATCACGGTTGTTCTCTAAATCACTCTTTCTTTCCATTCTGCAGGTGTTTAAAAGCTGTTTATTGATTCAGAATAGAATATCAGTCCTATGCTTCCGCTGATATTATCAACGAATTAAGGATGTGCAAAATTTTTCGTTTGTTTCAGGGTAAGAAAAAAAGGAGAAAAAGTTTGGCATACGGATCTCAGCTCGCGGCCGAGAGAGAGAAAAAAACGGCACGTGCCACACGAAAGAACCTTAGCTATGATAAAAGACAGGTGTGACGAAGCAAGAAATATACTCACACAATGAAAATCCAATATTGGGGTTCTAATATACACTAGACGCATGCATATTGACTTTGAACGTCGAATTAACTTACAGTAATTGTGGAATGAGAATTGTATGGTGCGCAAATGTTCAAGGGTTCATAAATTCTGCGACCAAAATCAATATAAGGCAGATGACACCTGCAATCATTGGATTTCTATCCAATCTCCCCGAAGTGTTCTAAAACGTTCATTAGTACACACCAAACGATGTCCATTACATTATTTTATTTGGAAAAAAGCTGCGCGATGTATCGATCTGAATTAAGAATCGTGTGAAAATTTCGTGGATAGCGATAGACTACGCCGCCAATGCTTAACGCGCAAAAGTTCGAACATAGATTTGGAAACATGAAGCAATGCTGAAACATTTTATCACTTTTTCTCTCAACAAACAGGGATACAGTAAAGAAGTCATATGATTAAATGTTTTGACTGAGTTTGAATACTTATTAAGTACAAATAATGCTAAGAGACTTTTCAAACTAATTTAGAAACATCTAGCACTCCCAAAAAAGCAAAAGTACTTTGAAAAGCTTCTATCATTTTGTCTTTTGTGAGCGGCTTTTTTTTTTTTAATTGAGTGAAGATTGTGTTAAAAATACTTATTTCAAAGGTCAAATGTATTTCAGTCAGGAGTGCCCTTTGTCATACATGGCACGACACAAGTATACATAATTTCCTACATGTACGGCTTTGTTTTCCTTTCTGATTTGAGAGAGATGCTCGTATATCCGTCTAGAACAGATGGTATGTATATTTCTAACACCTGCAGCTCAGTGAAGTACTTAAACGCCTTATGGGTCACGCTAAATATGGCTACATATTAGTAACGTTATTTGAACATAGTGGTACATGCATGACTTTGTGTATGTTGGCCAATTTAAGAGACAATCTAGGTACTTGAGTATAAGAGCGGTAATTAATTAGAAAATAGACAATATATATATTTCTTTGAATTTAAGTACTCTTCCACTTGACAACATTTTGTCAGTCCAGACCTGGGAAAACAATATTAGTCAAGGAGGAAGAAACAGCTTCGTTAAAGCTTAAAATTCTGAGGATTTCGGATATTACAAACATAAAATATCGATGAAGCCTTGATTTCCGGTTTATTTGCAGCGCAAATTGTTTTTGGTTGAAAAGCTTGAATTTCGATTTCTAATTACCTAATACGGACGTATGCAGTTTGTAAATTAAATAAAACGTAATTTAAAACCGATATAGCGATGACATTACAATATAGTTCCTTATTACTGATGCAGCCAAATTAATTAAACTGCGAGTACACAAATGCACAGGAGAACACAATCAGTTTTAAACTTCCCGTTCGTTTTAAGTTCCAATTAGTACGGGTTACATCTGTTTTGATAAAATCGTTTATATTAATGTATATATTTGTTGTGATATTAATTTGAAAATATGAATAAATGTTTGGTGTATATTAGGTGCCTGACATAGTTGTATGACACGATGGCATTCCTTTCAAAGTGAAATAAATCGATCAATATTTCACTTCGAATACGTAAACCAGAACGGAATAACACCAGTGTCATACAATTCGTAACAGTTCGATATAAATTAGTTGGTTAATCAATTCAAGCACCTTGGTTCTAATTAAACTTCACTGTGCAAAAGGCGTTTGTCAAAACGCATGCTTGACGAATGTCCATCTGATTTACGGCGCAAACTCCGTAAATGGACGCAGGTGCTTCCGGAAAATGAGAGTTTGATGGCAAAGACACATTAACTGGCTGACATTATTACATTTTTGCGTTGGTTATTCAGGTTGACATGAGTGGGGAATATAATTTGTGTGACTTCGTATTTCCAGTAACCACTTCGAGCGATCACAGAAACAGGAAGCCTGCAGCTTTTGAGCGCTTCCTGTTGGTTTCAAGTTCAAAGTGGCGACAAGTAGGACTTGGGCTAAAATGCAAGCCAAAAGTATCCATGAGACATAATGAAAAATTTTCATGTGAAATATTTTTTCTTTGAAGTGTTGTTCTGAAGGCGTCTTAATTGCAAGCTGCATAACATTGGACAACTTGTGTAAGGGTTCTTCAGACCTCGTAGTTGCTCGCCATTCAGTAACTGAACAAGCTTCCTTAATTAACACAAAACAGTAATCCAACCACTCATGACACATTCACACTAGATAAGTAGGATATACTGCAGAAAAGCTGATTACAGAAATG